ACAGAAAGGGTTGTATGGTGAATAATGCTGATAGAAAGGGTTGTATGGTGAATAATAACCGTAGAATAATGCTGACAGAAAGGGTTGTATGGTGAATAATGCTGATAGAAAGGGTTGTATGGTGAATAATAACCGTAGAATAATGCTGACAGAAAGGGTTGTATGGTGAATAATGCTGATAGAAAGGGTTGTATGGTGAATAATAACCGTAGAATAATGCTGACAGAATGGGTTGTATGGTGAATAATGCTGACAGAAAGGGTTGTATGGTGAATAATAACCGTAGAATAATGCTGACAGAATGGGTTGTATGGTTAATAATAACCGTAGAATAATGCTGACAGAATGGGTTGTATGGTTAATAATAACCGTAGAATAATGCTGACAGAAAGGGTTGTATGGTGAACAATGCTGACAGAAAACATTTTAGCAAGGCTCTATAATCTGTTTTGTAACTTAACTTCGCCAAACTCAACATTTACCCAAATAACATATATATAAACTATCGTACCAAAAGTCTTGGGAAACACCTCTGATTGCAGGAAAATGGGTGTGACGACGAAAGTTTGTCCTATATAGGTGGTCAGCAGTTCTCTCGGAAGTCATTTCGTTGAACATGTACGCGAACGATGAGCACACGGAAAGAGCTAACAGAGTTTTAGAAGGAAATGATAGTTGGATGTCATTTGAGAAAAATATCGGTAGGTGCTATTGTGCAACAATTAAACCATTTTCAGCAGTGGAGCTTACTGATGCTTTAAGGGAGTAGTGGAGCTTCCTGATGCTTTAAGGGAGGACTGGAGCTTACTGATGCTTTAAGGGAGGACTGGAGCTTACTGATGCTTTAAGGGAGGACTGGAGCTTACTGGTGCTTTAAGGGAGGACTGGAGTTTACTGGTGCTTTAAGGGAGGAGTGGAGCTTCCTGATGCTTTAAGGGAGGAGTGGAGCTTACTGATGCTTTAAGGGAGGAGTGGAGCTTACTGGTGCTTTAAGGGAGAAGTGGAGCTTACTGATGCTTTAAGGGAGGACTGGATCTTACTGATGCTTTAAGGGAGAAGTGGAGCTTACTGATGCTTTAAGGGAGGAGTGGAGCTTACTGATGCTTTAAGGGAGGACTGGAGCTTACTGGTGCTTTAAGGGAGGACTGGAGCTTACTGATGCTTTAAGGGAGGACTGGAGCTTACTGATGCTTTAAGGAAGGAGTGGAGCACAACACCACCAGCTTTCTACCAGGAATTGGCAGATAGTCTTTCAAGATAGTATCCCGTGTCCCATGATGTTTGGTAGGATAGTGTATATATTTAATTAGATTGAATCCCGAGGCTACATACGATAGATGGCGCATCTTAGATACTCATGCATCATCGGTGATTGTCAGACAGACTTACCCGGTGGTGCCCAACCCCTCCCCATGTACCCGTCCCTAATTTAGCAGTAAAGGTCAACAGACAAGGCAGCTAGTCAACCCAACTTTTGGTCTACTGTTTTACCAACAAATAGTGAAATTGACTGTCACATTATAACGTCCCAACGGCGGAAAGGACGACATGATCGGTGAAGAGATTCGAACCCGAGACGCGAAAATTGCAAGTAAAGCACCCTGTCAGGCCTATTACATTGTTTTGAACTAAACAAAATGAAGAAAAACATGTTCTAGAATATGAAACGTTCATCACTTACATTCACATACTGGAACTTCATCTGTCCATAGAATATTAAACGTTCATCACTTACATTCACATACTGGAACTTCATCTGTCCATAGAATATTAAACGTTCATCACTTACATACACATACTGGAACTTCATCTGTCCACAGAATATGAAACGTTCATCACTTACATACACATACTGGAACTTCACCTGTCCACAGAATATGAAACGTTCATCACTTACATTCACATACTGGAACTTCATCTGTCCACAGAATATGAAACGTTCATCACTTACGCCAGTATGTGAATGGACAGATGAAGTTGCTCCTCCTTCCAAACAAGTAACCACCTTAGAACCTTTAAGTTGGAAGTTTGTTCCACAAGAGAAAACACACGTATCTCCAGCAACAGCAGCAGAACAGGAACCGTTTGTCAGACTATTCGGAGTTGCTGTCAAGTCTGGACATGTTGTTTTCACCAGCGCTATATCAGAGATATATATAACATATATAAATGTTTATTTCTGATGTCCAGATTAAACTTTGAATGTTATGGCGTGAAGAACGTCTTCGTTGGCGAAGTGTAATTACAAACAGTAACATTAGACTCATTGTAGACATAGTGTGGTTGAAATATTATTATATACTTTAATTCTTGGAAAAGCCCTAACGGATCAAATAATAAATAGCACTGTTTCAACATTCAGTAATCCTAATAATATTGTTTTACAGTATCATTTTTTAACAGCAACGTGCCAGTGTGTGTATGATGTGAACTCCATAATGTTTCAGTTATTTTGTTTTGAAGTGAACATGTGGTGTGTGGGAAGAAATAGAATAACTATGGATTATTGCCAAATGGTAAACTCTGTAAATAGTGTTGAATTTACACGACACCCATACCTTTACGATATCTGTCAGATAACGTAATCTCAAACACAGTTGTTAACACTCACGGGATAATGTACAGTAAACCAACAGCATCCGATTTAAATAAAGTAAAACTTGGTATAGTACATAAAAACTAGAACATGAGCTGTCACAGAAGTCAATAGCTAGCATAAAGGAAAAACCATATTCACAACAATAGCTAACATAAAGTAAAACCATATTCACAACAATAGCTAACATAAAGTAAAAACCATATTCACAACAATAGCTAACATAAAGGAAAAACCATATTCACAACAATAGCTAACATAAAGTACAAACCATATTCACAACAATAGCTAACATAAAGGAAAAACCATATTCACAACAGTAGTTATCATAAAGGAAAAAACATATTCACAACAATCGCTAACATAAAGTAAAAACCATATTCACAACAACACCTAACATAGAGTAAAAACCATATTCACAACAATAGCTAACATAAAGTAAAAACCATATTCACAACAATAGCTAACATAAAGTAAAAACCATATTCACAACAATAGCTAACATAAAGTAAAAACCATATTCACAACAATACCTAACATAAAGGAAAAACATATTCATAACAATAGCTAACATAAAGTAAAAACCATATTCATAACAATAGCTAACATGAAGTAAAAATCATATTCACAACAATCCCTAACATAAAGTAAAAACATAATCATAACAATAGCTAACATAAAGTAAAAACCATATTCACAATAATAGCTAACATAAAGTAAAAACCATATTCACAACAATAGCTAACATAAAGTAAAAACCATATTCACAACAATAGCTAACATAAAGTACAAACCATATTCACAACAATAGTTAACATAAAGTAAAAACCATATTCACAACAATAGTTAACATAAAGTAAAAACATATTCACAACAATAGCTAACAAAGTAAAAACCATATTCACAACAATAGCTAACATAAAGTAAAAACCATATTCACAACAATAGCTAACATAAAGTAAAAACCATATTCACAACAATAGCTAACATAAAGTAAAAACCATATTCACAACAACAGCTAACATAAAGGAAAAACATATTCACAACAATAGACTAACAATATGTCTCTTGTCAATACAGAAATAAAATTCAGTTCAATAACCTAAATCTGTTTAACTAGTTTCAATCCAATAACCTAAATCTGTTTAACTAGTTTCAATCCAATAACCTAAATCCGTTTAACTAGTTTCAATCCAATAACCTAAATCCGTTTAACTAGTTTCAATCCAATAACCTAAATCCGTTTAACTAGTTTCAATTCAATAACCTAAATCTGTTTAACTAGTTTCAATCCAATAACCTAAATCTGTTTAACTAGTTTCGGACCAATAACCTAAATCTGTTTAACTAGTTTCAATCCAATAACCTAAATCTGTTTAACTAGTTTCGGTCCAATAACCTAATTCTGTATAACTACTTGATGATTAAATTTAAACCATCGATACCAGGACAAAATAACAAAGTAAATAAATAAATAATATTTGATAATGTTAAGCAAGTCAACACTGACAAGATAGATTTATTAAAAGTAAGTATCGGTGTAAAGCCAGCAAGTGTAACCCAATAATAATGTTGATTCATTTCAAAATTAGAAACAAAAACTTACATCCACACGTTGGAACTTCTCCAGACCAACTTCCCGTGTCCAAACATATAAGTTCTGAAACTCCTACTAGTTGACGGTCTCCTAAACAGGAGAATGTACATCGATCTCCTGGTACGGCGAATGAACAATTTCCCGCTATTTCTCCATTTTCAGGAGCGGAGAGTGTTGGACAGTAGGATTGTTCAACTAAAAGTATGTGAAAATAATGTGATGGAGTTTCAAGATAACAGAAAAATGTATGTACATCTTGCACAGAGTCGAACTAGTGAATACAGTTTTTAATATGTTATTTAGTAAAACATTTTAGGCTAGTAAAATATAATATTATTTTTCGTATAGTACCGATGTCCTGTCAAGTATCATTTTTTATGTGTATATTTTGTGAATTTCGCAAAAGTCTGCTAGAGGGCTATCTGCGCTAGCCGTTCCTAATTTTGAAGTGATAGGCAAGAGGGAAGGCAGCTAGTCAACACTACTCACCGCCAACTCGTGAGTTCTCCAGTCGAATAGTGGGATAATGCATCCACGTTGATTAACCAATTATCCTTAGGTCTCACAAGGAATGGTGAAAACGATATTGTATAAATTTATAACACCAGGAACTGAATTATTATTATTATTAGATGAAAAATATATCTTAGTATAGACATGAAAATTTCACACCTACGTTCACATGTTGGTTTATCTCCAGACCAGCTTCCGGTGTCCAAACAGATCAGCTCCGAAACTCCCACTAACTGATAGTCTCCTACACAGGTAAATGTACACCGATCTCCAGTCACAGAAGAAAAACAAGACCCCTCTATTTCTCCATTTTCGGGGACAGTGATTGTTGGGCAGTAGGACTGTTGTACTAGGGAAAAGGTATAGAACATGACTGGTGAATAAGGTATGGAACATGACTGGTGGATAACGTATGGAACATGACTGGTGAATAACGTATGGAACATAACTGGTGAATAAGGTATAGAACATGACTCATGAATAAGGTATGGAACATGACTTGTGAATAAGGTATGGAACATGACTGGTGAATAAGGTATGGAACATGACTGGTGAATGAGGTATGGAACATGACTAGTGAATAAGGTATAGAACATGACTCATGAATAAGGTATGGAACATGACTGGTGAATAAGTTATGGAACATGACTGGTGAATAAGGTATGGAACATGACTGGTGAATAAGGTATGGAACATGACTGGTGAATAAAGTATGGAACATGACTGGTGAATAAGTTATGGAACATGACTGGTGAATAAGGTATGGAAGATGACTGGTGAATAAGGTATGGAAGATGACTGGTGAATAAGGTATGGAACATGACTGATGAATAAGG